AAAAATGCAGAACTCTGACATTTTTTTTTCTCCACCTGTGGTAATAAGAAACACTCATCCGGCCTGTGCTTATGTTGGCACCGTGTCCGAGGATAGTTCTCGTCCTTGTTTCGTTCCAGCGCTATATGGAGCCATGGGAAGCAAACCGAAGCGACTTCTCTGATTCCTCTGGAACAAAGACAGGGATGTAAATACAAACAGACCCTAGCCGTTGCTCAACAGCAGCCTATCTTTGGAATTTCCACTGTTAGCCAAGAGGTGATGACCTTCAAGCTGATGCTTAAATGTGAACACATGAACGTAAAATAAGTTACAATCTGTGTCTCCTCCTTAATCTGCTGCACATCCTCTGCGGTGTTTTCCTTCAGCAGGCGTTTATAACTACCATCACAGGACGAGACGGTCCGTTCAGAGAGCCCCTCTTGCTTCTTGTGTGTTCTGCACATCCCTCTCAGTGCTACCTGGCACGGGGCCCTTTGCTCCTCTGTTCCTCCTTGAGGTCGCAGTGTGACTCACCAGCTGCAAGACGGGGACGTCTTTTGTCCAGCGGTTTATTTTTTTTAAAGTAATTTGGCACTGCTGTTGAACACCGTGGTTTCACAGAGCTTACTTTAATAGGAAGGTTGATGAGAATCAGAGAGGCGCCGGTTCTGAAGATTTGTGTGAAGTGCGAGTAGTTTGTGCTACAAAAACACATACAAAAGTAAAAATGAACACCTGTGACCAGTCACATTAACTGTGTTTAAGCGCAAATTCAGCCGACAGTTGTAATACAAATAAATGAAAAACGGGTGGAAAATCCAGAGCCAGGTGCAATTTTACTGCCAACAGCTCGGTCAGATTAGGGTGTGTTCATTGCGGATAATATAGCCTCGAGCAAAGGTTAGGAGAAAGCCACAGAGTTGCCTCAAGTGACACCGGTTGAGGCAGCAGACTAGATAACTGACCAGAGGGAATAAGCGACACATGCAGGCTAAAAGTGGTCCGAGGAGAAAAAGGGGGTGCACGACCATGCGTTAGAGCTGCAGACATTGTGGGGATGGTATCTTTACTCTGTGATATAGTGCGGGTAAAAGGGTCAGTTTATATGAATATATGAAGTATTTGTACTGTACAACTGTATATTTTCTTCCCTGGTCTAAATTCTGCAGCATAATGTAAGAAAGCCCTGGTGGCTTTTTACATTATTTTGCAGATGCCACAGGATGTCCTCTTCATAACTAACTTCATACACGGTGCGTTTAAAGAAATGCAGTCAGTCTCCGGCAGCCTCACATTACACACATGCCTGCAGACATCACAAAGCACACATGCACAAATACAAGCAAGCGCACTCAGGCACGGACTGGCAGACACAGACACACGTCATGCTGTGCTCTCCAGTATATTAATACTTGGAAACAAACTGCCTAGAGCTCATAGTTACAGCGGAACAAATTCAAAAGCGAGGTCCCTTATGAAAACAAATTTCCTGCGTTTATTATTTTTAAAATGGTCATTAATGCATCTGACATGGTCGGTGGATTGGTCCTGTGGCAACGGATTGTATCGGTAGCTGCAAGCTTCCTGTACGATTTATTACGGCTTTAAAAAAAAACTAAATGTAGCTCTTGGTGTTGGTCCCGTCGTGGGTCTCTCTAAAGCCGGCTTTCTGCCTCTCGTTCCTCCAGGTGGGGGAGCAGGAAGCGTGCAGCCTCCCCTCCGTCTTCTGAGTGAGCGGCCGATCAGTCCAGTTAACAGCAGCAGGCTGCTGACTAGACGTCGAACTGACAGACAGCTAGAGGGGAATCGTCCCCCATCGCATAGGAATTATGTCTCGCAAAAATTCAAACTAGCTGTAACCAGAAGTATAAGAAAAGCAGAGAAGACTTTTTCTATGTGCGTGTACATGTTGGATGCGCCATGGAACCCCACTGTGAGCATGCTCTCTCAGTTATATGAATACAAACTAACACACCTTAATGACGGGCCTGTGTTTCCCTTAAGTGCCTTAATGAGTTCTTATCTGATGGAAATTGACCTGAGCGCACAGCCAGGGGGTCTGACCTCGTGCCCTCACACACAGCCAGGACCCGGTCCTGACTTTGACTTCATTTAAAACGCACACCTATTTATAGATCAATCAATCAGATGGAATATATCAAAAAGGGTCTCGATTAAACGATTTATTTGTCTATAAAATAGATTCATCTTTTTAATTGTTTCTTTTGTGCAAACGAGCATCCCAAACTCTAAAAGTCTAAATCCCAGCGAGTAAGACAAATTGTACAGAGAAAACATAGTTTTATAAAAAGTACAAATGTACATTCCATCCAGCTGCTGCACAGTAATTAATGTAAAGACCCCTGTCATAGGATGACCGTGTTGCTGTTGCACCCTCTCCAGCTGCACCGTTTCCGGTGAGTGAGTCCCATTAATGTGTGTATCTGGCTGGCATTTGATTTTGGGCCTGTGTCCAAGAGTGTCCCCCCCCCATCCCACTAGCTGGTATCAGACCTGTAAAAAAGCCTTTTAATGCAAATTGCAGAGATGAGAATACACTCCCCCTACACAGGACACATGCAGGCCCCACATGGTTCTAATTAGCTATGGAACCGTAAAGGTGTTGTGCCCATGTGGAAGTAATGAATGAATGAGTGTGTGTGTGTGTGTGTGTGTGTGTGTGTGAGCCCACGTGGTGTGTGTCTGTTGAGGCAACAGGCGGGTGCTAATTGCAAACACCTGACGCTTGTAAGCGGTCTCTGCGACGCCGTTTGCCTCGGCCTTAACGGCCGCTGGCCGTGTTCGATCCGGGAGCGTCAAAGTGTCACAACAATGCCGTCTCCACCGAGAGGCTACGGGACGTTAACATCCACCCCCCCACCCCGCTCATCAAATGCCATTCATAGGCAGTGTCTCCGCTTCACCAGTGCGGACTGGACCGCAGGGCTTTGCCTGCACAGTACTTTCACCGGAAGGACGTTGTTAGCTCAGAAGCATCATTTACCAAATTGGACATCATCATTCCCAGCGCGGCAGTAGAAGTGCTGCCCCCTGTTGGGCCCCCGTCTCTGTGCATGCTGAAAGGTGAGCACCCTGATGCTGAGGAGCAGAGCTTCAATGGCAGAAATGCCACTCATGCCGCGGTGGCAGCGCGTCTCGCACCCACGTAGGGGCAGAAATGCCTCGGCCTGTGATCCTGGTGGGGAGAGATTTGAGTTTCAGGTGGGAAGAGCTGGTGCTAAAAGGGAGCGGAGGGTCTCTGCTTACAGGGTCGTGTTGAGAGATGTGACTCCGTCGGCCACCTCAAAGGCTCGGGGACAGAAACTCAGACTCACGCACGCAGGCATTCAAGACCATGACCAGACTGCACAAACACATGGACCCAGATGGGACGCACACACGTTTGAGCGCGCTGGGATCAGATGAATGTTCGTAAACGCCTTTTACAAACTTCATAGAGCGTCTGACACAAATAGATGCAGACTACTGATGGGTCCCAGCTTGTGTGACTTCTCAAAGCCATTAAAGCATCAGGGAGATCTCTCCAAATCTACGTTTATTGGCGGAGAAAAAAAAACCTCTTTTGAAATAAACACATTTTATGGAGAAACGTTAACAAGTCTATTCAGCAATCTTCCCGATTGTTGGGATGCGAAAACTAAAAAGTGAATTTGGTTGGCCAACAGCCGCAATAAACAAAAAGCCTTTTGTTTCAGCCCCCTCCCCTAAAAAGACACCATATATAAAGCCAAGAAACTGGAGAAAGAGAACTTTAAATAGACCTCAGAATAGTTGCGGGGGAATTGCATTTCAGTGCAGAAACCGCTTGAGTACACAGCAGTTCAGCAGAACTGACAGGAAAATGGGATGCAACATCTGATACAATCATATGATTTAATAGAGAAATAACATTCGAATGCACAAGCACCCACAGGCAGTGCAGGCTTTGCCTAATTGGGCAACGTTTCACACGGTGCATATCCATGGCTCTGGCTCCGGTGGACCCAAACCACAAAAAGTTGCACTGACTTTGCTAACCAGCCAGCCAGCCTGCGATGTTGGCACGGCAGACTTCAGACTGGAAAACGGAATGTGTTGAAAGGCGGCCAGAAATTCCACTTGTGAACGCTTTCACCTGTTCTTGTGGTTGCAGGGCTATTCACACCCAGAGACAAAAGGCAAAGAGAAGGAACGAAGAGCCAGGGAGAGAAATTCCCCAAACGTGCAGATAAGCCCCCCCAAAGAGCTTGACCTCTGCAGTAACCTTTGGACACAAGACTTTAAAGAGCCTTTACATGTTCCGCTACAAACTAAAGACACACATCTTCAGACTCTACCTTGGCTAAAAGCAAATTGTAGTACTTAAATTGTACTTATAATGGCACTTAACTATAACAACTTGTAAATTGGCTTATGTGATGAAATTGCACTTTCTTTCTTGCTTCTTGTTCTTCTGAGTTTGTATCCTTATGGTTGAATGCACTTATTGTAATGTAATTGTAATGTAATGTAAAAAGAAGAAAAATGTATTTTTTGTAAATGCCTCAATACATGTTTCAATAAAACTGCTTTACTATGGGAACACATCCCGTCCAACAGCTGCACGCAATGACATGCATAACAGGGGACTCTGTAACTAGACGTGGACCACACACTGTCCTCTGAAACTATCACAAGCTCTGTAACGAACACCCCGCGAGCCAAACCTTGGCACACCGCTGCTACATCTTTTAAACCCCCCCCCCATCAGAATGCAGGTCTCAGCCAGGACGTCCCAACCCCGCTGCTCTGCGGAGTGAAGAGCCCCGCTATCACAGTGTGGGCCCTTCCACGTGGCTCAAGGGGCCGCAATCATCAACACGCACACGCGCACTCTTAATGTTCGGGAGAGCTGCCAAACGTTCCCCAAGCAGTCAGCCATGACTGCAACGTTTAGTTGACAGGGAGCCGCGTGTTAGTGTCCCGTATGATTTATTTGTGTGTTCTCAGTAACAATGCTGCACACTGCAGAGACGTACCTGGAGGACACGAGCACTCCTGGCCGACATCCCTTGTTGTCCGCAATTTCGGCATCAGCACCACCACTTTCTGCGGACACAAGGAACAAATCCAAAGTAAGATATAAATATGGATAGATTTGTGGAGGCCTTTAGGAAAAAGTCATTAAAATTATCTCAATGAGCAGCAATAATAATTAAGAGGGCATTGTCGTCCTCCCATTCCTCCATGTGATCCGGTTATAGGTTGAGGTCTAATCAGTGGTTATGTCACCCTCTACACATATTTAACTGCAAACTAATTGGCCAGCTGCATGCAAGGTTGACCCCTTACGGTCATTCATCAAAAATCAACTGATTTTAGTTGTGCAATTGGAACAAGAAAGCGCACAAAGTCTGTGCGTTAATCAGCTTATCTGCATGTCTTTCCCGCTATTACGCACATTTTACGCACCGACAAGAATGTGCGTCTTTGGTTCACAAACAAGATACACGAATTTATCTACGACCGTTTACGCCTTGTACCTCTTCAACGAGCCGCCCTATCGAGGTGCCCAGCTCTGGAATCAGAGTCCCATCCTCGTTTAGACAATAAGCCGCGCGCGGCGGGATGAAGCTGTCCATCTGCATGCGGTTCTCCAGCTGGTAGGTCTTGAGGCTCATCAGAAGACACACGGCGATGGAGCTCAGAGACATCAGCATGCACAGAGCGATTGGGAAACCTGGAAGCCACCGCTGGACCGAAGACTTGGAAGCACACTGGCACACCGGCTTACTTTCCGCGATAGAGTCGCTGGCTGGATCCATCCTAAAAAATCCTGTGGAGGTCCTCTTGATGAACAGAAGGAAACATACAATAAAAGCGCCTTGTATAGTTGTGGAAGTCCTGCGACCAAACTCTACTCTGGGCTTCACAACACGCAAGGCTCGGGGTTCAAAGTAATGACTGAAATTGGTCTTGGAACGAGGCGGCGGAAGCAGCAGCAGCAGCGCACACTGGTTTTACGCAGAACACAGATGGGAGCGATATGGATGCCAACCGGAGTGGAGCCGCCTTCTGACTTGCAGGGGAGTTTCCTACACGGGTGTGCAAGTGCAACCACCAACGGCTCCGATTGTCTGCCGGCCTTAAAGTTGCGCGTTCAACTAGTGGCGACGCGCCCGCCCCGCTGACCACGTGGGGCACCGCGGATTGACAGCTGTGTCTCAGAGTGAGACGTTCGGGGGTTTAGTCTTGGGACAAGCTTTTGGTCACTCCGGCATCACGACGTGACGTTTAATGATACTGCGAGTTACACGATCCGTATCGTGTTCCCCTCCACTGTGATGTGTGAATAGAGACGGATTGTCGATTATAAGCGCATGACGCCTCAGGCCTTGTGGGATCTTGCCTACATTGGAGGACAATGGTTCCGCTTTGAGAAACGGGGTTTCGGTTTGTAGTTTCCTAAAGACGTGCATCTTCTCTGCCGAACCGAAACGTGAACCCGTTAATACTTTTAGTTAATCCAGGTTCGCTTTAGTCTCCTAATGAGCGTTTTACTGCCACCCTGCGGCTGCATGCTGCTACTGCACCGAAACAACAACAGACATAAGAGACAATTCTGTCGTCTATTCACGTTTATTGGAAAAATGTACATTGTATTGTAAAAGGTACACAAGCACTTGGTGAAAAAGAAAACATCTTAATTGTATGTACAAATATCTTCTGCCGCACTAGTTTCTCTCTCCAGTGCTGAATACATTTTTACTGAAGCAGGTGAGACAATAACATTTCCCTTCACCACTGTGACAATGCAGAGAAAAAAAATTATACATGGAACACAGTTTGACTATTCATGAATTTAAAAAAGAAAAAGTATATGCTTATGTGATAGATATTAAATTATAATGCCAAATAAATAGAAATCAACTGGGAGGATTCATTACACCAAAACATGCCACACATAACAGAACTCGATGAGACACACACACACACACAGCGGTTTAGGACAGAAAAGCAGGACAGGTGACTGATACAGTCGGGTAAGGTCCTCCTCTCCTGGAGAGAGGAAGCAGAGGCTGGACCAGCACACTACGATGAGCATCACAGCGACAGACAAGTCGTACGCTGCACAGGTTCAGTCTTTTTTGCTGCTGCCGGTGCTTCTGCTGCTCTTGCGGTAGCAGGAGAAGAAGGGATGATGGAGGGCCTGCTCCAGACTGAGGCGCTTAGCTGGGTCGTACTCCATCATCTTCTCTAACAGGTCAAACAGCTGGTGGTGGTTTTCGCTCTTCGACTGCATGTAATGCTGATGGCACAGTACGGTCAGTTGTTAAACAGGTTCCATTTTACATACGGACCAATGTATTTTTTAGTAGTATGGAGCCTAATTATTGTCTATTATTAGTTGTTTTGCAGTAAGAATCTGAAGTAGCCCAACTAGGAACTTGTCTTTGTTGAAGACAAAACCAAAAAATTCCTCAGAAGAAATTAGAATGGAAATACTCAAGCACTATGAGGCAGAAACTTGTATTCAAGTACAATACTTAAGAATCCTGAAACTTGCATGTATTCCAGCACATAGGACTTCTTATTCGCCACTGAGCCCGTCTTATTATGAAGTTCAAGGATATGTGCAGTGTTTTAACTGAACAAAACTGGTGGCTTTGGTAGTGCTGATGGCATTTAAGCGTTTTTAAATCCTCACATTTGTTTCATGCAGATGTACGTTCAGATTACATTCTTTAATTGACAGACTGTGTGCTGTGGTCTACAGTAATGCCGATCTTACCCTCAGGGGTTTGCAGTGTTTCTTCACATATCTCCCAGAAGAGCTGTGAACATCCCAGTCCAGCTTGGACCGGTGCACATAACGCCTTTTTCTGTACAACACAATGGAGACACAAGCACTTGGTGAAAAAGAAAACATCTTAATTGTATGTACAAATATCTTCTGCCGCACTAGTTTCTCTCTCCAGTGCTGAATACATTTTTACTGAAGCAGGTGAGACAATAACATTTCCCTTCACCACTGTGACAATGCAGAGAAAAAAAATTATACATGGAACACAGTTTGACTATTCATGAATTTAAAAAAGAAAAAGTATATGCTTATGTGATAGATATTAAATTATAATGCCAAATAAATAGAAATCAGTGGCTGCATAAATAACAAAATTGATGAATACAAAAATTCTTGGGGGGGGGGGGGGGGGGGCTTGTGACAATCCCATTAGCCAGTTAGCAGTCCACGTACTTGGTTTTCTGCAGGAGGTGTGTTGGGATGGGACCCAGGACTCGCTCCATCATAGCAAGGTGCTCTTTGCTGTCATGAGTCTAAAGGCAAGAAAAAAACACGTGACACCTTTAGCCAAATGCCACGGTAAACTGTATTAAACATTTTGTAATACCTTTTAGCTTCTCTTACCTGGAAGAGGGTAGACCCCAGGTAGTACTCTATGAGAATGCAGCCTACACTCCAGACATCACAGGAATGATCCCAGCCCAGATCTGAAAAGAGATGATGATAATAACACAACTCAATAACACAGCAACACTCAGTGATCCGCCTAAAGCTCGCGAGCAGCGCTGTGCAGTAGCCACATACCTAGGATGACTTCTGGAGCCCGGTAGTGGCGAGTCGACACCACGGAAGTGTGGTGCTCATGTTCATACGTGGCGTTGCCAAAATCAACAATTTTCACATCTGGCTTCTTCAACGTCCGCTCGTCCCGTTTCTGAAAAGCACAAACAGGAGAATCATGCTGCTCACACAGAGACACAAAGCACAATGTTTGGGCATCAAGCAGTGGATCTGTAAAGGACTCACCATTTCAGGATTGTACCGGATGCTGTAGTCCGAATCAATGAAGAGAATATTCTCAGGCTTCAGGTCTGTGTGAGTCAGCTTGTTTTTATGTAGAACTAGGAGGACACAGCAAATACATTTTTAAAACCGGCTCTTGTGAGATTTCCTGTAGATACAGTATATTCTGTGCACCATTGTGTCAACTACTTACATCGGACAGCCCGGATGATCTCGTACGCCATGTGCCTGATGTGTTCTATGGGGAATGGCTGGAAATTGTTTTCCTTGAGGAAATCATAGGTGCTGAGGCCAAGCAGCTCAAAGGCAATACAAACATGGCCGTGGTAGTCAAACGAGTCCAGTATGTGTACACAAGCACTAGAGGGGGGGGGGGGGGGGGGGGATAGGGAAAGCCCAGGCAGTTTCTTTTGAGGACAAGATGTGTACATATATGAAGAAAGCAAGGTGATCAGAGGTGTTGCGTCAAAGTTACTTACTATCTCTTTTCAGAGTCAAGGGACTTCAACTGTTCGAGCACCTGTACCTCAGACAAAGCTGCCTCACGGTAGCGGTCTATGTTTTTAATGATCTTCAGAGCCACTCGAGCTCCATCACTGGAAATACACAACGTTGACACTTTTAATTTCAAATGCCAGGGAAGGAGTGAGCAAGAAATATTGTTAAAAAAAAAAAAGTGTATAATCTTACTTAGAGTGATCAATGCATTCGACTACTTTCCCAAAGGCACCTTCTCCTAGAGTACACACAATCTCATCTACAGAAAATAAAAAGTAGTAGTTAGTAACACAGCACTGACAAAGGGAAACACTGCCCTTTGGCTGGTGCTCTGCCTGATGTTTCATAGCTCTAGTAAAGTAAACCTAATGTAAACAGGCTTCTGAACACTGATATACAACTAAATGCCAAATATGTTACACTGACAAGCAGTATTTAACGAAATACTTGTTTGAAATAGTACTATATTTGGAAATAAATATCAGACAGGAGAGAGAGAGACAAAGTGTGAACAACAGTAGAAAAAAAAGGTATATATTCTATACATCTTGCTCTCAGCATGTCTCCACTGTGATAGATGAGGTGACCCTCGTCATCATCCTCAACACTCCTGGATCTTTTCCTGCTCCTGCGCTGTTGGCTCCTCCTCTGCACCGGAACCGCCGCAATCCGCCATCACATCAATAACCCATCAGCCAGCCAGCCAGCGCCAGGCCACCACAATGCGACATCGTCATTCATTCAACCAGGCCAAGGGGGGGAGGTGTAGGGGTGGATAGATTCGGCCCGTTCAGTAACACCGGCAGACGAATGGACGGAGCAGCAAATTCAAATTCAGCCCGGTCAGAGAAATTGGGCGCCAGCCACCACATAGTGTGTGTTACAGAAGAAAAACATGGCAACAAGATTTTCAGATGAGAGACTTTCTCACAGTAGTACAGGAAAAAAAACTTGATTGATCACAGTGTATCTGCATGTAGTTCTTTGTAACTCTTCCAATACAACTTTACTTCTATCATGTCCCATTACTGCCCACTAAGATTTCAGCACAAATACTGGGTCCACTTTTCTCTAGCAAATCTATAAAAACACCCCCCGCCCCATCCCCTAGCAGTCATTATTGAAAATCATAATGCTTAATGCAAATGCCTAACAGTGAAGAGTGGGACCCACAGAGAGAAATGCTGAGACAAAAGGAGATGGGTGTTATGCTGACTAAACACCATTGATGATCCATTCCATTTGGTGACAGAGAGGTGAGTAAGGGGGGAGAAGGAGATTCTCGTACCGAGGAGGACTTGTGGCGAGAGTGGCTACGTTTGCGCCTTCTGTCTCTCGGCCTGCGGCTGCTTCGCCTGCTGCGGCCGCTCCGACCGCTGCGCCCGGACGACTTGCTGTAGTGGTGCCAGTCGCGGTCCTTGGAGGTGCCTTCGCGTCTAACTTCCTCACACGCCATGGGGTCCTGGGTGCTTCTGTCCCGAGAATCCAGACCCTTGTTCAAGCTGCGGGTCTCCAAATAGTGTCTGCAGGCAAACACAAAATGACACAAATTGAAGAAGAAAACGGAGAACATGGACTAGAGAGTGTAGATCCGGTCCTGCCCAGTTTGTTTTCTGTGAAACGCTCTCTAAGTAAAGACTTTATAAGACGGCGCTAAAGGTCCGCCCGCTTCCTGAAACTGTATCCCTTGAGCCATTTATGTAACATTTTTAATTAGCAACATGCTGCTATAGAGGCCTTCCTCAAACTGTTTGCACGTCAGCCACATTTGGAAGGATTAAAGTATTGGAAAGGTTTGGCCACAACCCGATAGTGTGTAATACTATCTGGGATTCTGCACTGGCTGTGGGCTGGACAGTGAACCCCATGCGGCACCATTTCTTTTAATTTAAGAATTTTAAGTGAATAAAAACTTTGACCTTTCAACAGTTCCTTATGTTTGCCTTGCTGTAAAAACATAAAGCGTGAAAATTAAGGTTGTGTTTGCTTAGAATGTTTCCAGTTGCTTACAGCACACCCACCCAGCAGGTCGCCTTAGCAACTAGGCATCTAAAAAAGGCCGAGGAACCTTGCAGGCTCGAGCACTCTGCTGGTGTCAGTTGCCTTCCAGCAGGAAGTCTGCCTCTCTACAGAATTAAAATTAAAATGGAAACATAACCGCAGTCATCATACACGCCAAAAAAAAGGGTGGGATTGCAAAACATTGCACGTACTTTTATGGAATGGAAATTGACTAGGTTTCTGTCAGTTTGAAATGTATATATATTTTGAGGGGTATAGTGAAAATCAAGTTCATTTTTTATTCCACCTGTGTAGAATGCACTAGGAGCATGAATAGTTTACAAATTCGAAGCCCTGTTCCTAAAATGCTGAGCCCTGGCAACAGTTTTCATTGCTTTTACACCTCAGTTAAAGTAAGTAACCAAAAGCTTCCAAAAAAAGGTGAGAATTTGAGTTGACACTTTAAACAAGAAATAGAGATTTCACTCATTCATAAAGTTACCCATCACAGATCCTCAGGTGATGGTGGGTTCTTCTGGACTTATTCTCTCTCTCGCTGCTGTGTGAATCTTGTTTTCTTCTCTTGCGACATTCCATTCTCTCTTCCCAGCTGTGCTCATCAAGCCAGATACCAGGGGAACGCATTCGCTTAGAGTAGCGCATCTGCAAGACATGGCAAACTGCTCTAAATACAATTCCACAACTACATATGTCATCGATAATTGCAAAACAATTAAAGGGCGCTTAACATTTCTATTAAAAAAGAGGTCTGTACCACCGAGTTACACGGCCCATTCCAACACGCGGGGAGTGCAACATGAAGGGGCGGGGCTAGCGATTTATTATATATACGGTGCTACTGTTAACCACAGCACCGTAAATATATAATAAACCAAATACGTTGCTGTTTCAAATAAGTCAACATGGAAATATGCCACAAAAGCCACGCGTGACAACAGAACCGGTATCCTACTCATAACGTTGGTCAAACGAGCTAAAAACAAGAATAAAAATAACAAACTCACCGTGGGTTACACAATACATTTCTAATGATCTTTTAATAGATTTGTGGTTATATAATCAACGTAGGTTTTGAATCCGCCTGAAGGGTTAACGTTTTAAACAGTAGTGGTTAAATAAGTAGATCACTTGACAAACAAACTAGTTAAACCGTTAACTTAATGGCGCCAGGCCAACATTTAACAACGTTTCCACAGTGACGTGTTAACTAGTAAGATCCTGGTATATTTACGGCATTAGCGGTGCCTTTAATATATAAATGGCTAATGCTTGTGGTGTAAAATACGTAAATTGGTGGTGTTAGCGTGAGGTTACGGGCCTGTGGAGCGTTCACCACGCCAAAGGTACGACGTAGCGTTACAGAGTTACTTAAAGTCAACAGAAACCAACATGAACGTCAATCGGCCTAACTTAGATGCAATAATCATATTACGCTGTGACTACTAAGTTAAACATGTTTTTATCGACCAAAAGGTTAGTTGCAGAATCCGAGGAAATCTATGTTCGTAACTAGCTAAAGCTATAGCTAACCGTTAACGTTAGCTAACTAGCCAGTTGATCTGCCATGTTGGCGAGACGTCGCATTTCAGATTCGCTAACCTGCTAACATTAGCCAAAATTAAGAAGAATACACGATCGTTACCCAGTAAGAAACATTATCGAGAGGTTATTCCCCATGAATGTAGTTTTACCTGGTGTTATCAAGATAGTTGAAAGAGTAGGCTTCTCGTTTGTGGTATAAGTACGAACAAAGAAAAACAAAATGACTCCGACTAATCGTCTTCAAAGATGGCGAGCTTCCCATAAATGCCTCGAGCTCACTAGAACGCTGTTCTGTGACGCGACGCACAATAACCACGCCTACTAACAACCCGAGCGCTTTGGCTTGTGGGTAAAACATGGCTGCGCCCTGTTCCCACCCTTAAGACCACCTTACCCGAATGTGTCAACGGCGTAATTCAAACTCGTCAACGCGTACCGACCAACGCACCGGTGGGCATTGCTGGTTTCTACCGATCACTCATCCTCAAGATGCCGGAGAAGGAGCGCGTGGGTGGAAACGCGCTCTCGAGGGCCGTGATTGCCGAGATGCTGGCGAAGAATTTCGAGAAACTACCTGACATCGATCAGAAAATCTTCAAGTACGGTCCCATGTATCTGGGGGGAAACGGAGCCCTCGCGGGTCTGATATCCAACAGCTTGTACCGCAGAGCCCTGAACGTCACACAGGCGCCCGTCGCCTCCGGCCTGCCGATGGCGGTGCTGCCCTTCCTCACCACGTTCGCCCTGTACAGCGCCGCCGTGTCGGCCCCCCTCATGTCGGGGGACCTCAACTGTCCCTCCTGCGCCCTGATTCGAGGTGCACTCGTCGGGGTGGTCGGCGGCGGGCTGTACCCCATCCTCCTGGCCTTACCTGTGAATGTTGGACTGGCGTCCAGGTACGTCACGGCACCGCTGCCGGAGAAGGGCAACGTGCTGCGGTACTGGATGGACCTCTCCAGGCCGATCGTGAGGAAAATGAGGGCGGTGCTGGTGCTGCAGGTTTTCTTCGGCACCTACCTGAGCTCCAGGCACTTCGAGACGTACACCAAACTGGCGCATATAACTTTTGGCTCCGGTGGAGAGGATCTGAAGGACTAAAACGCCCTCGACCTAAAAAGAAACCCGTTGGTGTCATTGATTCACAGCTGCTCGTGAGACTAAAATGAACTGTCTGCTACCTTTCAAAGATTGCTAGTTAATAATTGCAGAAATTCACAGCTTTCCGAGTACATGGTTAAACATAAGAACATCCTTTATTATCAACAGATCGCATCATCTATGTTCAGTATGTGCTGATTAAATGTTACAACTGAGAAAAATAATCTTTAGCATTTTTTAGTTATCCAATAATTGTTCATGTCCTTTGCTGCTGACCTTCCTCGTTCTGGTTTCTGGCTCTCAAATTTGCAAATTTTAGTTTTTTTTTCTGTCTGACAGCATTTTAATTTCTTGCCTTGGGTTTTGCACAATCGCTTGAATAAAACATTGAAATTGCAATCTGCAGATTTATATATTCTGCAGACAAATCAATAATCAATTATCTGTTATGGGAAATAACTGATATCAATTCGTAATGGAAATAATTTAGTTTCCCTTTTAAAATTGGGCTGCTATGATTAAGCGTAAATGAATTTGACTCATCTTGGGCATGGATTCTAGACAACATCTTGCAAAACCTGGGTTTTCCTTGCAATTTGGGGCATTTTAGCTCCTATTCACACATTTTGAAAATGTCTGCATGCAAATTACAAGTGCATCAATCAAATGTCAGGGGTCTTTCCTTGTGTGCAAACCCCTGATTGTGTGAATTCAGTGCAATGCTTTATTTCATTGTTTTGTTTAAGGCACAAAACTTGAACGGACTGAACAATGGAAAATCAAACCGAAGATAGTCACACACAAAATAAACTGAAGGGGATAAACTTAGCATGGTTTAATTTTATTTACGGCTAGTCACATGTTTTTGCAGTGATGATGGAGCCCAAACTGTTCTGCTCGACTTCCATGACCATTGAACACTGAAAGCGCTCCAGTCTTTGAACCGCACACGACAACGCAGGTGTGAAAGCAAGAAAGTCAAAAACAGTGTGTAAAGTACAACAACTGTGTAAAGTATTGCGATTGCGATTGTCATTGAAAACACAACGTTCAACACAGGCAAAGTTTTATTCAAACATGTCTTCACCTCGTAGGGCTTCACATCTCTGGCTCTCTAGTCCGAGCTTCTCTGGGGAATGTGTTTCGGGGGAAAACAAGTTTATTGATGACAAACGAGGAGGGAGAATAAAAGTTACTGTTATTAACAAGGAGAGGTGCTTCTACAGAGGAATCACCGACATCAATCAAGTGTAGCAAACTGAACCAGACAGTTAAAAAAAAAAAAAACATATTACATATTTCCCGATGACCCTCCTCTCCTCCCGCCCTCCCAATGGCCCCCGGATCACAACGAATCTGCCGGAAAAAAAGTTCTGTGACAATCCCACAAAACGATAAATAGCCCATTTTCAAGCTAGAGGAACTTGAATGTTGAAGACAACCAGATACTCGTATGGCACACGTTTCTCTCTTTACTTTACAACCTCTCTACTTCACCGTTGTTCTTCCACAGATTGCATCATCGCAACAAAGTTTGTGTTGCGGTGGTAATCTTATCACGGTGGTTTTAAAAACACCTGTCGTAGCATGCTAGTAGACGTAAATATTCATTAAAGGAAAGTTACAATAAAAACTATACATCTGCCGGCACAGAAATCTCCATAAATATACCAGACAACTGAACGTCAGTCAGAGAAAACTTCCTGAAGAGCAGAAAGATGGGGGGTAAATGTCACCTGTACACGATCTACACCTGGCCAAGCTCCCGTCGTGACTGTTACGTTATACCATAAGTAGTCTCGCATCACCGGCCTAATACATTTAATGTAGTAAACAGTTTATATTCCCTGTCCAAAATAGGATACAATAAATTATAATACAATAAGAGGTGACCAGTGAACAGTCTTTCCCAGTTATTCTCATGCAAAACAAGACGGTGACGAACATACAGGAACGCATGAACATCTGGATCCCAAGCAAACCTGCACACATTAAAGTACACGTGAGATGAACTGGTAAAAATGCTGGAGGCGTGTTGTCTGTCCTCCCGTGTACACACGGTTGCCATTCCTTCAGTAGACCTATAAAATTAGACAGCTGATATGGGCTAGCCAGCGCCCTTCACATCATTGAAAGTTTCATTACAGTACGTTACACATAGAGAGGGAAGGGGGTCAAATTAAGGACCCGGACGAGGCTTTGGACCAAAGGCGGAGAGAAAAGGGAACCAAATACAAAAACAACAATCAGTAGGATTTTCATTATATAAAGTGGTTTTCCCTGTAACTGTACTTTCCATAGTAGTAAACATATCTTCACAGAGTAAACACACATTGAGGGAAGGCGAGGCAGTATCCCTCTCCTACATACCGGACCCCATCATTTCCATAGCTTGACCTTTGTAATTCACTTTTTGTGATTTGTTCTTTTTTTTTTTTCTTCTTCTTCTTCTTCTTGATGAATCCTGTTCATCACGTATCTTTTTTTCTTCATATTTTCTTCATAGAAAAACACCTAAGTACCAGCTAGGTTACTTTACAATTCCTTTTAGTGCAATGAGAACACGTGCTTTCTCGCTGGTCGTCCGCCGTAAGCGCCTCATGTCTTTCCCAGGATGTTGGACCTGAAGGCAGAACCGAGAGGAAGCGTTGGTGAAGTGGACCAAGGATGTGTCGATGTGGTATTTCTCATTGCACACGGCGTTGTTATTCTCACCTGAGCGCTTTCCATCTGTCCTTCTCCACCTGGTTCTCTGGACTCTCACTCTCGTAGGACGCCAGGTAGAGTCCTGAGGGAACATTGAGAGAAGAAATAGTTGGAATGGGAAATAAGTGAAGACAATTGGTTTCGGAATAGCAAACTACCAGAAACTATGGTGGAAACACTTGCATGTGTGTTGTTTTAAATTTAGATTTACATGGCAATGTTAACTTTAAAGCTTTTATGGCACACAGGTTCACAAATATATGAAAAAACGCCCCCTTTATTTGAACGAGGTTCCTTCTCTAAAGGTCACTTGATACTTTCTGTAAATGGAACCGTGTGGTCGTCGGCTTGACTGCTCAAAGTGTGCCGGAGGCCTCCGGTGCAAACGCGCTCTCACCATCCTCGCTGAAGATGGGAGCCGTGTGGAGGTAGTGTAGGATGGCCCGGTCCTCCTCAAATGGGCACTCCACCTTTTTCCATGTCATGAACTCACGCACCTGCCGCGCCAACTCGACAAATTTCTAGGAAAACAACATTTTTGGAGAGCGAATGACGTTCGGGTGGTTCGAACGAGGCGCGGGCCACCAGGACAGGTGACCGAACTCACCTCAAAGTTGACGTGGCCGCTGGGCAGCCGATTGGCGCATCCTTCATTAAGGAAGTAAATGTCTTTGATCAGCAGACTGAAGAAGGGAATCACAATCTGAGGAAAGAAAATTATGTGGGAAATATTGAGATGAAAATGAAAGCTTGAATCGCTGCGCCTGCGATGCGTGTCTGTGCCCTACCCGCTCTCTGTTGCTGTTGGCAGTGCGGGAGCGATGGGCAGCCCCCCTCAGAGCGGTCCTGTAGTTATAAAAGTTTCCTGTAGGATCCATCTGATGCTGTCAAAGCAAACGGCAACAACCGGTACAATGTCAATGTCAAGTTATTCACTGTCTTGTACCGCTCAGTCAGTGAACAGCTGCACTGTGTCTACCTCAAGGATGAAGAACTTGGCAGTCTTGGCTTTACCCCAAGTCTTCTTCAGCCGTGACACGGGGCTCATGTTCATGCCGGCTGCAGGAGGGAATGGATTTCGACTATAAACAGCCGGTCGTGCAGGAGAATTCTTTTTAATAATACTTTAGTGATACTAGAGTGATAGCAGAATCAGACTCACAGATGATGGCCATGAGGGAGTTAAAGTTTCCAATGTTGAAACACTCCCTTGCAACATCAATGAAGAACTCTATCACCTGGGCCCTCTGCTTCTTCTTCGCTGGCTGCAACAAAAAAGGGCAGAGGATTCTTGTTATTGATTGATATTTACATCATTTTTCCTGGGCATGGTTATTTGTCCTTAGCACACAGAGTTGAACGATCATTGAAAGTATCGATGCAGTAGCACAGAGTGACCAGCAGGGGACAGTGACGCTCTGTCAAAAGTCACTGCCTTTGCCTCCCGCCTGTCTATGTGTTATAAAAATGAAATACTGTACTGCAAGATTGAGTTCTTCCAGGATTTACCATTGTAAATACATAAATATGAATACTGCAATGGAGAACTATGATTGGTAAAAATATGAAATAACATTATACATGATTCAAGGTGTTCAAGGCATTTCTCTGTCTCCTCCCATTCAGTTCCATGTGTGCTTCATGATTAAAGTGCTTTTCATCAGTGGCTGTGCTATTCTATGAACAGGATGTTCCTGCTTCTGAAGTCCAATGTATAGACTACATGAGCTCCGGGTGCACCGACATTTTCCACTCACCATGCAGATTTCAGTAGCCACCAGGTAACACAGTCTGTTGAACCATCTGACGTAAGCCTCCAGGTTGAAGGTTTTTTTCTTCTGGTCACCGAAGCATGGCTGCCAACGACACACAACCAAGTCCGTGTAGGAAGCGTTACCATTAAGCATTAATCTGATCCTAATTAGCTTCCTATCTACAGGCTAACTCTCCTATATGCGAGTGTGAATGACAAAGACAGTGAGCTGGCAGTGGAAATAACACGATCAATGGCGAGCGCAAGATGAAAAAAACAGGGCGGAGGCGGGGGGGCAGACGGCGAGAAGATAAGTGAAAGAGACAGGTGACTGAATACAGATGAATAAAGACAGTAAACAAAGAGCACAAATAAAGCATTCAACAGTTACACAGACGGGGGAGATGACTATGTTGTAGCTTGTGTTATCACAATGCTTTGCTGTGTGACCGCAGTGGTGTGCTGACATCTATAAGGCCCCTTAAAAGCTATTCCTGATCAGACATACATTAGACACAGACAACAAAATATAAAAAGATCTGTGTCGTTGTTATTATCATTATTACTGTATTTTACTTCATCTTCTCTCATTGCATCCTTCAGGATTTCCCTGAAAATGAATAAATGCTGTAGACCTGATCTATAAACAATCGAAATATAAGTTCACCTGGGTTCCATCCAGCGGGTCTTTCTGAACAAAAGCTTGGACAAACTCCTCCGGCCCGATGTGACTCAAATGTTCCTGCAAAACAAACACAGACATCGATGAGGATCGTCCCATTTAGGACTCTTTCTTTTCAGTAATGGAAGGCAATCAATAGGAGGAAGTAATGACTCATTGACGTGACTCAGTGCAATTATAATTCCTGTGACACCAGAGACAAATTCACTTCTATTAAAAGACAACCGTGGAGTCCCATGCATGTGCAAATCGAAATGAGACTCGACTCAAGGTAAAGTCCTAAAACCAAACAGCGCTACACCCACGCATACCACGCACGCATTGACACAGAGCACAGTGGAATCTAGATCTGTATACTCAGAATTCACATGTTGCTGTAACCAACAATAGAAATAGTTCTGTATGTGTGTGCGGTGCACGCCTGTCTCTCTACTTGTGTGTGCATGTGTGAGTGTGTGTGTGTGTGTCAGCGTGTGAAGCTGTCAGGTCAAATATATCCACAGCGGTTTTATCCCCTTTGTTTGAAGCCCCGGGCACATCAGTGACTTCTGGGGTGATGTCACCGCTCAGACAAGGGTACAAGCTCACTCAGGCACACACCCACACACACACACAACCACCCCCCAGATACACATGCCCACATCAAAACACACACGAATAGACTGAAGGCACCATGCATGAAATGTGAGGGACACTGCAGAGACATTTTGTTCCTGTATGTTGCTTCGCATCATTCCCTTTGTTCCTGTTATTATACGGGGGGGAAACCAGTGACTGCTGACAAGTTTTATCAAGGTTATGCTGCAGCAAGCTGCGATATGCTGTAAGATCTCAATGAACAATCAATGAAGTGATTCTGCCAATTTTTGCTATTATCATCCTCCTCATCACTGCATCGGTGCTCTCCCCCCTTCTAACATCCTCCCTACTCCTCCCTCATCCATCCTTGTTATCATCTCTCCGTCCCTCACCCCCCCCCCACCCCCCCACACACATCCCCCGCCCTCCCCCTTCTCCTCACCAGCTCCACGTGAGTGAGCTGCTGGGCCAGTGTGTACGGGTCGTTGCAGATGGAGAGCATGTCCTTCTGGATGTGCGGTGGCTTCGTTTTGAAGGCAACCAGCTTGTCAGAGATGGAGGAGGCGTTGAGGGAGACCTTAAGGATGCTCTCTTCCCCCTGGCTCATTAGGGCCAGCCGCTGGCTGAGCTTCTGCAACACCTGGTTCAGGGTTTTCCAGTACGCCTGGAGAGAAGAGGAAAGGAGAGGACAGGAGAGGGGAGGAGAGGGGGAGCTGTCAATACGACTTTAATGAATAATTTATTAATGCTCTATAGATCAGTATTAGGCATACATCATCGTTCCTACTGGGAGCCCATGCGTAAGCACTCTATTTGGTACCAAAGCGTGCTCAATCATTTTACTGTGGCTCTTTATTTTAGAACTTATCAACAACTAAATTCAGGATAAGACAATAAGCGCACAATTATAAAGAGACATTTATAGTTATTGAGCAGATGCTCAAGTGATCCTGTCTGTTGCCTACATGGTCCTTTAAAATGGATGACTGACCATCTATATGCATCAATTGGTACCTCACTGACTGTATCGCTATGTGGCCGGTTGCTTCATTCTTTCTTGGTGTTTGCATTAAATGAGCCCAAGAATTAAGTTCAATGTAACTTTTCAGTTGAATCTGTGTTGAAAGTGTTTTCTAGATTTTGTGCTGTGTGTCGTGTCCAGGAATGTGCGTTTCTTTGTCCCTCCCTCCAGATGACTGGTCACCGAGGCTGTGAGGTCAGTCTGCCTCACAAACGACCCCGCGGCTCCCACACGTATACGCACACACATGCGCACACGCAGACACACACACACACACACACACACACATCCTGTAGATAGGAAGCTGCGAATGGCAGCACATTCATCGCCACCTGCCCGTCCCCACCTCCCTCCCTTATTCACAGTCATCCACTCTGACTACATCGCCCTCCTCCTTTTCTCCACCTCCTCCTCTGCTCTCCGTCGCCCCGTATTCCAGCTCCCGCTCGCCATTTCCCCCGGCGAGGCTGCAGATAGAGCCACACCCCCAACATCCTTCCTTCCTCTCCCCTCTCCTGTAATGGAAGATTGTGTAACGCAGAGCTGTGCTGCTCGTTCCACACTGACACTTTGACTCCTTCCATCACTCGCTACAGTGGTAGTGATGATAATTGAATTTCGTTCCCCATCAGCGCATTTCTCGCTTCAGCTGCCGCTTATTGAGGCTAAAACGGCAGCGACTACACTGTGGGTGAGAATCAGTCCCATCGCATATTGTTATCCTGTAGAAACGGATTATAATAATAATGTTATGTTATCTTTTATAAATCAACATTGATATATACTGGACTAGCCACGAATAATAACCAGACTGCTATCATGGCACAGGTATACCTCATCGCAGGGAGCGATCCTGTGGACGATGTCCTTGAGGTGCCCGACCATCTTCTCGTCCCTGAAGTCAGACGGGAATGTCTCCGTCCACTCTGTCAGCAGCTGCAGGATTTTGGGACCAAACTTGCGCACTTTAGCCTGTTGACGGAGAAGTGAAAGAAGTTCAGTGCGGTCTACGTTTGTGAACCCCTCAGCAAAAGAAACCACCGTGACAGAGTCAGCAATTTGGCTAAAAAAAATAAATAAATCTGAGGCACATTTTTAATGCAAAGCACAAGCATGTCTGGTGGCTTTTGCTGTGTCTGGACGTGTTCCTGTTGATGAACCTGAGCATGCTCATACAGGCGGTATGCATGTGTGCGCGGTGCAGGGCTGACCGTATCCAGTGGGCTCTGATCCAGCTGCTGCTGCTTGATGCACAGCTCGCACACCCTGGCCAGCAGCTCCGGAGGAGGGATGAACAGACGAGCGCTCAGCAAGAAGGTAAACACATAGGCTTTCTGTCAAAGGACGGAGGAAGACAGTCGCTAAGACACTGCCACCACATCGAGAAAAAACGTCAGTAACCCTGTTAACTGAAACGGATTTTGTGATGGAGATGATAAGGAACAGAGGAGTGCGCGTAGTACATTTGCGCTTACCTCGGGGTAGTAATCAGCAGTGGGCACCAGGTTATGGATCAGGGTGTCCAGGGAGGCGGAGGTGATCGGGGGGCCATCAGCCAGGCAAGCACCAGGACCCGGGCCCTCCTGCGGGGCCTCCTCCTCCCCAGGCTCAGCACAGGCCAGATGGGGGCTGAAGCCACTGGAACTGGTGAACATGGTGCCTGAGCACACAGTCTGGGGCATTCCCGTCTGAAGTGCAAATAGACGAACAGGAAAGAAAAACAAACAGTTGAGACAGAATGAGGAAGGAGGGCTCAACTGCTTTTGGGAAAAGGGAACTATTGGTGTTGGTGGTAATTTAATTTTTAGGAGAGGAAATGAATGTGAATGCAAATTTCTATTTGTCAGACTAAATTCTGGAACACACTTTTATCATCTGAGCATCGTCCTAGTATTTCGTGCCTCTCATTCTGCAGCAACACACTCGTTCCATCCAACTGACGAGCCGCTGCCGTCGTCGGGGGATACAGAATACCCCGCAACAGCTGCCCCCGTCTCCCACATATACAAGACAAGAGGGAACCAAAAATGTGGGTCGCTCAGTCGCCGCGGAGACTGTTTCTGCCTGAAAGCGATAATGTGGCCACCGTATCTGCCCCGTACGTCTTTCCCATTAAGCATGCTTTGGGTTACATGTAAAAATTCAACATATTTTCTTCCCTCAATGGACCTACACTGCAGCTGTCGTGGAAAGAAGCATCTTTTCCACGACTAGAGTAGAGATGCTATGGAAACAGAGAGCATCATGATCCAGGGTGCAATTATCATCATCCTCACCTTGATGTCATCTACATGCGGTGTAGTGGTAATAGAAAACATTTTTTAAATGAAGTCATTTTGCACATCCACCACTGTTTTGGTTTCTTATGTTATAAGAGATTTGGATATAAACCCTCGGCTGCGCTCCTGCTGGAACTAACTGAACCTGGCGTCTACGTCGACCTCAATCGCTCATCATCACGAGGATGACTGCAGTGTCTGGTGCCTTCAGGCAGGTTCAGGGCCACAAAGTCTCATTGCCTGAAGGAGTCACGAAAAGGGCAGCAAACTCACAGTGAGACCTTGATGCCGGTTAGTTATTTCAGATGTAAACACGCCATTTTCCTCCTGTTATTTGTATCTGACAACAGCTTGGGCGGATTAAGCACATGCCCACACAAACACACGCGCTAATAGTAACATATACTGTATACGGGATACAATAAGGCAGAGCTTGACTAAACATACCCTAATAAAATATAGCAGACCATAAATAACTCAATATTGGTGTAGAAAAAAGAATATGTTCATGATGTATCTGCATCGGCCCTCATTCTAAATCTGGTGACCTTCAGTCCGTCCCAGCCCCCACCCGGCCATCAGCCACCTCAATAAACTGCTGTCACGGGTCCCTGGGGTGAAAGGTCAAGCAGTGTGTAGAAGCTCATGTCTCACGTTTCCGGTGTGCGGGGTTCAGCTTTCCTTTGTTCTCCGCTGCGCACTTATTTGTGCACTTGTACACACCTACACACCGACGCACACACGGGCAAGACACTGCAGTCTGGGGGATGGGGAGTTTCTCTCTGGGGAGCTTTTATAGCCAGACATTTCTCTTATGTTATATGTTGTGGTTGAAGAGGGCCAACGGCTTCCTGTCCGCCCCTCTGAGCAATGATAATGTGAGAGAGGATAAAAAAACGACGACGCTCAGGACGTCTGATGGAGACGTCTCCATCTAAATATTGAAACTATACACAAATACTCACACGGACGAACAACATGTGTTGTGTGTGTCCTTTTTAAAAATAGTCTATTTTGAGGGCAAGACATTACCACAGAACCCCCGCTGAAAAATATGAATATCATAATCTAAACTGCTGGTCTACAATGTCTGTAACACAGACAAGTTGTGAGTCGCTTCCCTCCTTGTCACTGTCTAGATGAGGTGCCAGATGGGGATAGCCAGGGGTGTCCTTGCAGCGACCTCGTCTAGATTGGATGATAACATTACAGCCACAGAGGAGACACGGCCTGATAAACAGAGAAACGGACAAATCCAACAAGCCTCTGTACCAGCAGAGATGCAGTGAGAAAGGGTTATGGAGGCCCTTCCTCTTTAATAGAACTGACGGGAAGACAAATTCTCAGTGTGAGTGACTAAATCCGGGAGTTTATCTGCGAGTCATCTCATGCATGAAAACAAACATGTCCACCAGTGTGTTTGTATTCATGTATGGCGACTGGGAGATTTATCCCACGTGCCCATACTGCCAACGATTTCCTCTATCGGTGATAATCTCCACTCTCCCAGACGCTTCCTCCTCAGCTCCGTCTCCAGCCCGGATTCGTTCATCTATCACCGCTCTGCGTCGGTATCAGTCGATTCGTCACCGTCTGAAGCACGTGAGCAGACCTCGATCAGGTAGCTCCACGACAGACGTGTGCATTGCGCAGTCATCCGTTGCTTTGTGTGACACACTCACTGTGCCACTGAAGCTGACGAGGAAATGGACTGAGTTCGATTCAAGATTTCAAAAAATGTTTGGAGTTTGGAGAAGTAGAGCCTTATTACAGCCTGAGCTAACTTTGATATGCTAACATCCAGCAGCACTAGCCAGGTACCCACTACTGTACTGGCAGGGTGTTGAATTTAAGGTTGCTATGGAGTTGGTGTCCATTTCCCAGAGAGAGCTTCAGAATCAGACATCAGTCACCAAAACTAATCATTTTACAATCCGATGTTCTCCATGGTTGCTCTCACGAAAAAACAGCCCAACTCAGAGAAAAAGTTCTGTATTACTATTTTTTCCAACTTCTAATATTAATTCACAAGCACGTTGCTTGAACCACATTTTTTCCGACATTGTGACCACGAAGTCATCCACGGCCGTGCTCTATGTATAACTGCTTTCCGCACCTCATGATACGCCCGTCTCCCTCTGTGCCTGTCACATTGCATCAACGTGGCCTGAAAAAGAAACACCGAGAAACGCGTAGCAAACAGGTGAGTGTGGGGTTGTGTGCTCTAATCCCCTCAAGATTCCCAGCAGCCTGCCAAAGGCCGCCCTGCACGCCGTCTAGACAGCTGGGGCAGTGTTCTTGTTTGTGGATTCTGCAGTGTGTGTCTATGCGTGTGTGTGTGTGTGTCTGTATATTTTGTCGGGCTGTTATCGTTGACATCGGGGGATCCGACTGCTTTGTTTTATCACGATTAACAGAATGGTCCTGTCTGGAGACACGGTATCTCCATCAGCACCCTTGCCTTGCGTGTCTGGCTGTGTGTCTGGCTGTGAGTGTGTGTGTGTGTGTGTTGATGAAACAATGGCGTTGTGACATAACCAAGGAGGTTGAAGCTGTCAAACAGCTTTATAACCTTGTTAATCTTTGTCTGTTAGCATCCAATTCTGTCTTTACTCTGTAAAACCTGTTGCACCACATAACTAGTACTACGCACACCTACCTGTGTGTGTGTGTGTGTGTGTGTGTGTGGGTGTGTGTGTAAATGCCAACACAGCCGCTGACCGATCTGATCTTCCACTACGATGTTAATGGATGAGAACAATCAGTATTAGAGGCGGCTAACCATTAAGACTGAGGAGGCTTATTCACGACAATCTAACTAACCACCACCTGACCCCCATCACTGAGAGGTCAGGGGTCACCGGTGAAGAGTAAAGGCTCCTTGGTGGGGCGAATGGATGGAAAGAGTCGTTGTTGTTGTTGTTGTTGTTGTTACACGTGGCTACACGTAGGCTGCAGTCAGGGATATTTCTAAATCAAGAGAAAGAATTTAAAAATATCCAATAATATGGACATGGACTGTCGACTTAATCCCTCCAAATTGAAGTTGAGGACAGCAGACTTGCCTATAGATCCAATACCCTCATGCAATTTATATTAGCAGAAATGAGTAAAAATACTATTTTGACGAGCCCCTTATTATTGTTGGAGACAAAAAGATAAAATACATTATATAAATCAAGGTTTGAAACTCACTGTCCTATTTCTTCTCAGTAAATGTCAAACTATTAAAAAATAGCTAGGATTTGAATATCTTAAGAAGCCAACACATTGACACTGAGAAACACCCCAAAGCAAGCGTGAAACCAAGATGTGATGTAATGGGCAGCACATCATCAGAGGTGAGAAACAGCCAATATCCGGCACAAGTCTTGCAGCTATGTTTTGTTTGCTTTCTGTATAGTTGCTTCCTGGTATCAGATTTCTGCCTCCACTACCTTGCTCTGTGAGTAAAGGAATCAGATGGCAGATAGGAGAGAGCTGGGCTGTGGAGAGGTGTGTGTGTGGGGGGGTGTGTGTTCCCCCTTAGGGTAGTGTGCAGACAGTCTATGAATGTTAAAGTCACCTCTTGCGAGAATCACTAAACTCCTCTTTTTCCCCCGTCACATGACTCCCGGCCTCCACAGCAACTCATTTACATACTTTAACACTTCCTTTCTAATTTAGGAGCCACATGTTTGCTCCTTCACGCAGTACACTTTCAGCACTTCATCTATTTCAGGAGTGCGCTAAAAAAAAGCACTTCCTCTCGTATTTTCGGTCCCGACGCGGTTCAGTGTGCCTTGGAGTATTGAAGCTCTGGCCTAAATTTTCATACGCCGTTCTTTGAAAGCTGAAAAGACGCGAACAGAGAAATAATGGAGTATTCTCCTGATGGTGGGGGCTCGAAAAAGTGTAAACACCTCTTTGTCAGCCAGCTTCTCACTTTCCCTTTCCTTGTCCCCCTTGCACATCTCCCTCCCCTCCTCCCTTATCTCCCTCTCCACGCCCCACTTTCCATGAGCCCGTTCAGGACGCCTGTGCAGATGGCCCCTCAGCAGCCTGCTCTCCCAGTAGGAGCTGCTGGCACAAGAGCTTTTTTGGCGCTGCGCTGCCCCCCCCCCTCCCCCCCTCCGCCGTCATCCCTAATCTCAACAGGAGCCCAAAAGGGTACTGGCGTCCAGACTGAATGCCGAGGTGCCGGAGCCGAGCCAATTTGGCTACTGAGCTGCACGGTGACCGCCGACAACAGAGAGAGAGAGAGAGAGAGAGAGAGAGAGAGAGTGCTAAATACCACACATATGTCCCCATGTGCTGCAACAACTTCAAACCAGCGCTTTAGTGTTGGTTAATGGTGCGTGTGTGCGTGTGTGTGTGTGTGTGTGTTTGGGGAGGAGTGGAGCTGAAAACAAATGGGTTCATTGTGTCGTAAAACAACACGTGCATGCACACTTGCACCCACGCAGCAGCCAAACACAGGGTTGAGTTACAGTCAAGGCATTCCAGCCCCCCCCCATTCCTCCCTTCCTCTCTCTCTCTCTCTCTCCCCCGTACGAGCCGGACAGAGGTTGGGAATCACACAACGGGCCTGACATCCCAGATCCCTTTTTATTGGAGTTCCTGCACAGTGTCTGAGCGAGGTCACGCTGTCATCCTGGCACCTGTTCCACCCCCAGCGCCCCCCCGCCCCTCCCCACCCCCAGCTCCATTAAGCCTAATGTAAAGCTCATGGGGAATTCTCCTCCACCGAACACGCAGCCAGCCTCATTCCTGAGCAGGTTTGTGCACAGTTGCATGTCAGCGTTTGGGTTTCTGTCAATGTGTATGTGTGTGTGTGGTTGCTAAAGGGCCGAGAGAGAGAGAGAGAGAGAGAGAGAGAGAGAGCGCACCTGTAAGTCCAAGTTGACGTACATGAAGAGAAACCGAGCACCTCTAATAAGTTAAACCTGGTTAATACATTTACATGCAGATGGAAATCCCAATCAGCATTACACCGAACTATGAGCTGAAGAGCAATGTGCAAGTATCAAGCGCCATTATCGAGCGCCATTATCCGCTGACTCCTCTTTCAAACCACTACATCCACTGCTGGGTCTACTTGCCCTGATCCGAGTGGATGGAAATGTCATACTAAAATGAATTGGAGGTTTGTGACATGTGATGGGGTCCGGGCAATCTACCATGTTACTTATAGATAATTCAAACGGACAGGCCCTTAGTGTGCATGAAGCACATGTCTGAGTATCAAGTGCCCTAAATCTGTCATTCACAATGGTTATGATGCCTTAAATAACAGCCATGTATTATTCATAATATCCCAATTTACAACCAAAGCTTCTTTGAGGAGGATTGTCTCCGTTCTAAACAGGCGTCACTTTGCCACAAATGCCACTTATGAGGCATTACCAGCTCGCCCAGTGAGGCATTACCAGCTCGCCCAGTGACTGCAGGAATATGGGAATGTGCAGCGTTAGAGAGCCTCAAGCCTGAAGTAACTCTTTAAAAAAAAAACTAACAAAAATAAACATCATCCAACAACCCACAAAGCATTGTGTTACTCTCAATCAAACCGGCACAAACTAAACAGACGTTAGTAATTCTATCACAGCTGTCTCGTCTCCTGTTGATGCACATCCATCCGTTCATCAGATGTACGACTTGGGAGGCGCACTAATTAGCGTCGGGGAGACGGAGTGGTCTGGTTGGTACGTAACTCATGCCTCATGGGATTTGATACAATTAGAGCGAGAGGTCAGAATGTGTGCTCCATTAATCCACAGCTCCCTGGTTCATGTTGATGCCAGGTTCTGCCCGGCAAAGGGGGGGCTTCATTCTTCCCACAGTTGCCCCGGTGCTCGCTCACAGGGGGAATGTCGGGTACATGAAAGAGCGTAGTATGGAATAGAATGGTATTATTTCTCCGATAACTTCTCATTTTTTATGACTGTAATTCGTTTGGATAGCCCACTCTCATAGACACAAAGATTCCACAGCGCAGCGTGGTTCATTCACACACTCTGAAGCGTCTTCCCATTGTATTCACACTTCGCTGCACGTCGTTCTGTACACTCTTTGTACATTGAAGGCTAGAATTATCACTCTACTGAAGTGAAACCATGTCAGTATGTAATGATGGTTCAGACCTATTTGGGGTATGTTTCTAAAGCTGTGTCTCCAACCCCTTTTCAACATTTACCTTTGGTACAAAAGTGTCACAACGAATATCGTCTTTTTTCCATAGTAGTGCTGATGAATGAGTTTCAGTACCAATATCAAGTAAGTGCTGGAGTTTTATTCACTTTCATAAGACAAATTGAGTGTATTCTTGAGGTCTAACACATGTTTTGGAGGTTACCTTCATCATGAATAACAGATTTTTAAAAAGATCGTACACGTGTGTATTAAATCCTGCTTTTGTTGGCGCATTGTGATGTTTCTCTGGGTGTTTCCATTAAAGGTCTAGGAGAGGTCAATCTCCACAGGGTACCGTGGACTTAATTAGATTTATGAATAGATTATAATCACCAAAAAATAACAAATATGGAGATGGAGTCAAGGCTCCTATTGGGGGGTAATTAAATGCCTTAGTCCCCACTTCTGCATCGCGTCTTCTTTCTTTTATTCCATCAAAATTCCTTGCCCCCCCCCCCAACCCTCTCTCTCTCTTTGCAGTGACAAAGCAGCAGGGTGTGACCGAGTTATTCCACACGTGAGCCCTGTCTGCCTCGGCCTGTCAGCGAGATCGCTCTCATCATCCGCGTTCCAGTGGCAAAGCTGCCGAGTCGCCGAATGACATCCAAAGTCCTGTCAGGGACACGAGCTGCTGTGGGGCCGAGGAGCTGTTTACGTAAAAGGGGGAAGAAATATATCAAACGTACTTGACAATCCTGTCGCACTGGAGAGATAGAGATAACTTTGGGGAAATGAAATGAAAAAAAGAAGAAGTTTCCATTCGTCTCATTTTTATATTTAGAATTTGCTTCGTTTAGCTGTGATGTACTTTCACAGAAATGGGGACTTCACCGAAACGACAAAAAAAAACCTCAGTAACAAAAGACCAACTGATCATTCAAGCCAATCCCCCCTTAACCACGTGATCCTTCAAAAAGAAATAACAGAAATAAAAAAGTTTGAGTGCCTCATGAGTGTTTAACACTGACATAACTAACTGGAATCTAATGTGATTCCTGTGTTGGAAGCATAGTGTAATTATCTCCTTTATGAAGAGGTAGAATACAATATGATCTAATTTCCATGAACAGCACCGTGCACGCGCACTCAACGCACACCATAAACCTCGAGGTGGTGATAAAGCTGTCAGAGCACCAGACAGCTATACGGTGCCCAAGACGCGTCCCCTCCCTCCCTCTCCCTCCCTCCCCCCCCTACAAACCAAATGTGTCTCTACCTGTCTGAGGTGAAAGGGCACCGAGAGAGGGGACGCCCGACTCCCGATGCTTCACTTCTGTTTGGCTGAGGGGTGGAGGAGAGAGAGAGAGCTGAAGGTGGGGGTGCAGGAGTGCCTTAATATCAGCAGCAAGCATTTCTCCCCACGCAGCGGGTTTTCTGACTGTCTTTACTTTCACGCACCTCGCAGCTGCAAACAGATGACATATCCCGTGTTTGCATTTGAGTAAAAAGGCTGCTCACCACCTGCTTGGACGCTTTACGAGGACGAAGCCCATTTGTTTGAGTTTTATTTTATTTTACTCTCATATAGGACGCGAAAGGCCAACAGTGCCACCACCAGATGCGCTCCTCTTCGATTTCCATATCCAAATCAGTGAGTGAGTTTACGCAGCGTTACGCACCCGCGTTAATAATCAACCCGCACAAAACCAGATAAGCATTTGCACCGCGAAGCCGGTCGACACACGTGACGTCACGCCGACTCCGTCATTTCTTCATCGGGTGCTGTTCCCTCCCGTGGATGTGTCGTCGGCGGCCGTATGGGCGCAGCGACGCCGCTGACTCACGCCGCGCCCGCCGGGCTGCGTCGTCCCGCGCCGCGCGGCGAAGCGGCGCCAGCCGCCGCTGCGACAACGATGTCGTGGCGTCATCAACGTGTCGCTCGTAAAGTTCGGACAGTGACGGCGCCGGGTTCGAGTCCGCGCACGGACGCGCACACACACACCTCTAAACACCAACATTGCTTAAAATAAATCGCTTACCCGCACTACACTTCGATCCCCATCTCTGGTCCAACTTGCATCCGATGTCGAATCACTCAGAAACCGCCGCTGCGGGTATTCCCAAACCAATGAGCGCTTTGCTCAGATGGCATCGGGGGGGGGCGAAGTGGAGCCGGACCCGGTCTGATGGGTGACAGTGGTCGAATGTGTCGGTTTGACAGGAGCAGGTTGGACGTCCGGGCAGCGGACAGGTTTCCGACCCGCGACGGAGAGGTGTGCGTCCCTGGAGGCGTGGCGGCCGGCGTGTCATGCGCCACGGGAGAGACCGGAGACACCGGGGAGCGGACAGCACATCCACGCGTCCACGAAGCGAGTGGCAAGACGCAGGACGGAGAGGAGAGGGGACTACTCCCGCACCCGTCAAGTACAGGCAAAGATACTAGCGTTTCCGCTTTTGATTTTCAAAATAAGACAATCTTCACCGAAGGTGTTTTTAATTAGTTTAATGTATTGGTGGTGGAAACACGACTGGCCAACTTACTAAAGGAGGGCCGGAGCCAAACACGTCTTTGGACATGAACAAACATATTTTGGTGAACTGCATCTCAGCATTTAACAAAAAAATACAGGTTGTCAGATTGGCACTAATCGAAATAGGAATCCTGTTGGTGCTCGTTTTTGACAATATTATTGTATGTAATTTTACTTACGCTTGAGTGAAGTTAATCCAGCTACCACACTGCCCATACACAGTGATGCTGATGCTTTTGGGATCAGATGCAATACAGAAAACGCAGGTTGTCTTGAATACATTTTTGTCATCCTTATTTCATTCATTGCTGAAATTGGAATAGTCAAAAATACGACTTTTATTTTGTAGGGAATCGTATATCCGAAAGCTTGCTGTCTCTCTGGTGTAATGCTGCCGTGTTGGATTCTCTCTCCTGCCTCCCAGCACGCTGATGCTGAATGCACTCATGACACAGGACGATAGATTGTATCCTTGCTACATGAAGACAATTACACAAATGTCGTAGTTTGGGATGCTAAGTGAAGGTATTGGGGTGTTGTGGTTTCCAAGTGGAAGAGGTGGAATGTGATTGTTAATCCAGTATTTTAAAATGTTTGGTTGCCTCATGTGTCATCCCAACAGTTGTGAGCAAATTATTTGAAACGACGAACACTCTTTAATCCCCATGCAAACCTCTGCCATCCTGAATAAGAGCGATGCTGTATTTCGATTAAAATCTCAGTTAATTCATACCACCATATTGATAACAAAGAGGGAATATCCAACCAAAAAGAATCGCCCGACTGACGTCCAAGAGACGCTGGAATAATGGGTTATGGGTGAGGGGAATTGCCTGCGGTTGTTATTTAATTTTTTGCAATTTTTTTAATGCAACTGGGGGCAGTTCATTTGAAGGGGAGTGTTGTGGAGAAAGAGAGGGTGAGACGGAGAAATAATAAAGCGGCTGTGATGCAGAGTGGTAAAGGTTCTATCGGGCAAAGAGGTGCTGTGTGTGCGCTGCTGTCCCTGGAGCTTCGATGTCTGCTGCAGGGCTCCGTGGGTGAGGGAGAGGATGGGTCAAACACTGCAGTAGAGGACATAGAAAACACCCTCTCTCTCTCATGCACACACACACACACACACACACACACACACACACACACACACACACACACACACAGAGCAAGGTGTAAAGGATCCTGCTATATTGAGAAGTGAGAATTCACCAATATTTACGCATGATATTTCATTGTTATTATATATTATATGGACTTTTAGGACAGTTATCCCTGTGTGTGTGTGTGTGTGTGTGTGTGTGTGTGTGTGTGTGTGTGTGTGTGTGTGTGTGTGCACATTTACTTTAACAGAAGTGGCAGAACAAATCATTTCACAACAAAGGGTTGAAGTATACCTTTACAAGTTACTTGGGCTCTTGTTATAATTTCCTAGACAGCTTTTCCAAGGCTCGTTCCAATGTTTCACAACGCCTCTGCTTCCCACTCGCAGGCTCGCTTCGTACCTTGGAGTTTCTGCGACAGTATCGGTGACGGAGGCTAATTGAAGCACTCATCATACCCCCCTCATTTTTCGTCAAAATCGTTTGCATGCAGCATACAACGCCCACAGAGCGCCCTCATCGGAAGCTGTTGCTTAGTTCCAGCACGAGGGAACGACGTCTTAGAGAAGAGCTGTTAATCAACCTGACGGGATGGAAAAAGGTGTCAGGCCGTCTACAGGTGAGAACGCTGTCTTCACACAAACGGCAGCGTTCCAACTTGAGACCATTTTGAAATGTGGCGTCGCCAATGGCTTTGAGCTTTGCCCACCGCTAAACCTTCTATTTACCACCACTGTTTCAGTGGTGGTAAATAGAAGGTTTAGCGGTGGTTGTGACCTTGTACAAAAATGAAGATGTTTCATAGGGCTCTGAATGACCCAAAGTCTCAAAACCTTTCTGCAGAAAGCAGACCTTTTCCTCTGCTGTCGCTCTGACTCCCGGTTGCTCTTTAGTGTTTGTCTTTTTAGTCTCTCCACCCCCCCCCCCTTTCTCTCTAAAAACCCTGTTCCTTTGGCTTTCCTGCAGGGCACAACATGTCTTGCCAAGGTTCATTCAGAGTATTTATGCCACTTTAAATGAGCCGATGGAAAGTGAAATTGCCTTTGCATCCGTTGCAAACATACATCACTTGTAAATACGGCCACACTTTACACCAAACGAATTAGCTTTTTAATCTAATGCTGCAAACACATTGTGCTGTGTTGTTAGACCTCATCAATCGTGTAGTATGAGAAAGAAAACCGTTGAAACTTGCGGGGTTCTGGTAGAGACAGAAAGACAACTGGTTGCCAGAGGACGAGTGGGAGGAAAGAGAGAAAAAAGAAGAGGTATTCAGAGATGGCTCAAATTAAAAAGCGTGAATAGGAAGCTCAAGGACTTCACAGGACAGGTTCCCGGAGGCTTTGCTTCCATAGCAGTGGAGAGACCTTTGCTGTCTGTCACTTGTTGGTCCACTGCTACTCGTGAAGTCCACGCCAGAAAAAGTGCTGATAGAGCCAGATCCCAGTATTTGGCGGCCCCCCACTGGCCAATCAGTCCACATGTCCCCAGGCGCCTTTCCGTCTCCTCGGCCGAATAGCTCAGGCTGTGCACGCCCGCCCCCGCCACCCCCCCCTTTTATAAAAAAGTGGGGAGAGGCCGAGATGACAAAACAAGCATTTATTTTTTTGTGGTGGTCGCGGAAGTGGAGGATTTGTCCCGCCGGGGGGGGGGGTCCAGTGCGGCCCGCCGGATAACTTTACTAAGTGTAAAGATGACAGAAAGACATACATTGCATTTCTATAAAAAAAGCTGGACAGTATGCGGCCCCCTACCGGAAATGAGTTTGACCCCCCTGGCCTCGACAAGTAGTCTAAACTCTACGGACCAAACTTTCCTCCCTGCTATTTTATAAATATATATTGGGTTTCTGGGGCATCACATCTTAGTTTGTGTGTGTGTGTGTGTGTGTGTGTGTGTGTGTGTGTGTGTGTGTGTGTGTATATCTTAGAAACCATCCATTCGCCGGTAAATTGTTCTGGGATTCAAGCCACCGGTAGTTCATGTGTGAAGGATCAAAGAGAGCTGTCCCATGTACGATGCACAGAAAGAACATCAGAAAAATGTCACGGCCTTTCCACCTGGCCTGTGGTATTTTCTGGCCCCCCATCAGGCTGTGCAACAGCTTGAGAGGAAAATAGATGAGAGATGAACACACAGAGGAAGAAGTGATTCTGATAGTTTTTTTCTAGGTCACTGTGTTAGAAGAGGTCTTGGTGATTCAGCGTGACGTCTGTCACCTTCCACAGAGTGTGTTGTGTCTGAGGGAGTGAAGCAGAGAGCTCTAACATTGTGACTTTTCTTTACTCACCTGCATGCCGCTACCTGCCATTTACAACCAGAGGGAAGTGTGATGACAAGCCTCTGGTTCGTCCTCCCGCACGCCACCAGCCCCGGCCGATCTGTCAGCGAGGGAGATGGATTTATTGTTGTTATTGTCGTGTGTTGTGCACGCTCTACGCACAAACACATAGGGTTTCAGATTTGTTCGCCAAATCCACACACAAAAAGTTCTATTGAAATAGTCACAGACATTCTTATAAAAATAGCTCATACGCGGTGAGGAATCTCAGTGTCGCGATGTCCCTCACACGCTTTCAGCCCGCAAGGTTATTTGATGTTTCAGTCGATGTCTTTGTTCCCCATCAAAGACTCAGATGTGCAAAACAGTTCTGATTCCAAACCATGTCGGCTGCAATATTTAGCAGGACTACGGGGGAGAAGATGTGTACTCTTGTTTGTCAAACAGCCTCATGAATCACTGTTTACTTGTTGAAAAATATGACCATATAAAGGTTAGTTTAGTACTTTAGATTGATTATTTTCCTCCCAGTCTCTCAAGAATTTGAACAACTTCAAACCAAGGCTGACTTGGTGTCTATTTACATCCAAATGAACATTTTGTAAAATATACATGTATAATCGTAGATTAAAAGAACATTTGAAAGTGTGAATCATTCAATCCATAACAAAGCCACTGTAAGTTTTTGTGTTTCCCTTTTGCTCATTGAGGCAATTAACTCGACAGGATTTGGTCTTGCACTCGATTCATGCGGCGACGGAGAAAAAAACGGCGTCCCCTTGATAGTAAAGCATGATCGGGTCATCCACATTAGCGATTACAGCCTCCATCAGCGGCCTCCTGAGTCCATTTACATATTCCAGATCTGTAGCCTTGATTGTTTAGGAGAAATATGTGCAGCGAGACAAAGTTTACTATGTTCAATGGCATCAACCTTTGCTGCTTTTACCACCTTCATTGGCTTCCCCGAGTTGTGTCTTTGAAACCTTTGAAAAACTGAGGCTGTGTCTTTCATTGTGGATGATTGCATGGTTGATAAAGTCTCCCAAACACGTATGTGTCATGTTGTCACTGTTGCATTTCTTATGCCTTACAAAGACCATGGAATAAGAACAACACGCCACACGTCATTAGATCTCAAGTACAGCTGAATCTCCGTATGAATTGCACCAGCATGTAATTGTTGACCCTCGTTTTTCTGGAAGGTCAAATATTACAATTAATTTCACTCTGCAATTAAATCTTTTCATAGTGAATATTAAACAGATGCCCTCAAGGCTACATGATGCATTTAGAGTACGAAACTTTCTATATTCATATTGAATGGCTGTTACGCATTTTGCCTGGCTTTCTTAAGCGCACTGCATCACTTCATAACACTTACTTGCTTGTTTGTTCATCCAACTTTCAGTCCGTACGTCCATCACGCTCTAGCCTTTGACCCATATCTTTATTTATATTTATCTTCTACTT